CATCTCGGTGCCGGTGACGGTGGGAATGCGCGCTCGTACGATGCACTGCACCTCGGGCAGGGTCTCGAGGAGGCGGGGCCGTTTGGTCCCCGCGCCGCCCGAGGGGATCGAGCTGTCGACGGGCACGCCGCGAGGAGCCTCGGCGCCGGTGAGAGGTGTTGCTGTGCCGGGTGTCGCGGGCGGCGTGAAGGCGGGCGAGAGGAGGGAGGGCGGTGGCAGGGCGGTGTTGGCGGTCGTTGAGGCGGCATCGTCTTCGGCTCGCGCGGGGGCGGCGGGGTCGGACAGGTTCAGGTCGTCGGCTACCTCATGGCTGGAGGACGCAGCTGCTGATGCACTGTCGGCGGCCTTGGTCCGAGGAGAGTAGAAGGAGGGTAGCTGGTTGGTTTCCTCGCGCCAGTCCTTGGGCGCATCGCCGGCCGCTGGCTTCGCTTCAAAGTCGGGCATGGCGGGGGAGATGGGGGGTTGACTGCGAGAGCGGAGAGGCGATGTTGGTGATTGCTGGTCAATTCAATGCCAATGGGTATTCATGCGCAGAATAAAACAAATTCCAATTGAAGACACGCCAGGGTCGCAAAGCAAAATATTGCAGGAGACGGACAAAGTAATGCGGGAGGCGACACTGAATCTGGGAGTGTCGGGTAATGCACATTTAATCGCGGCGACCGGTTCCGCTCCGAACAACGAGGTGGTGAAGTGCGGTTCAATTAGTCATGCAGCCAGATGATGACAGCGCGGGTGCATCTGTGTGCCGGCGGCATGACACTTTTGGCCAAGTGCCCGCCCGTTCCAGGCAATGTTCCTTCTGAAGGGACACCTGGAGGCTGGAGGGGCCGTCTTTCGCCGAGGTTCCAGACAGAGCGCCGCGCGCGCGGGGCGGACTTTCCCAGTGTCTCGAGCTCGGATTCCAGGGTCTCTTCAGCGGGGTCGGCTGTTCCCCTCGCTGACTTTTTGTGCGAGCGAACGCCGGCCGCTCGGGTGGGGTTCGGTGATTACATCATCTCATCCTGGAATCGGCTAATCACGAAAAGTTGGACCTGCTCTGCGATTGTCAGTCATTTTGCAATACTATTTGAAAAAATATGAAAATGATCTCTATTTGAACTTGAAACTGATGGTTAGATACGCCTAGCCGTGAAACTTTAGCCTTTAGCGACGTCTACTTTCAGAGCGTAATCATTTTTGTGGTGATCCACGCCGCCGTATGTGAGACCATGATAATCTGTCGAGTTGATGAAGGCTTTACTCGAGTTACGGCTTAGATTCATCCATATCCATAATCATTTCGGTTATCTCAAAGTGAGTCTCTATCAAACATCGCATATACACCGCGCGCTTGATTTTTAATGCTGACGGAGGAATCCCAGACCTCTTCGACAGACCTCACCTCTTATTGGCCGCATCTTTCAAGATTCTCCACGTACGGCTCGCCTCTTCCCAAGTCATCCACAGCCAACGGCCCGTCCGCTCATCCACAACACCATCACAAGCATCAACGCCTGTTCCCAGCCGCAGCAGCAGCAGCAGCAGCAGCAGCAGCAGCAGCATAGCAAAGTGAACGGCCACCACACACCTCCGTCATGCGCAAAGCATGTCGCACACTCTCTGTCCTCAGGAAGCCCATTCGGAAACATCCATAGAGATGCCCCGTCCAATCCCCCCTCTCCTGCGGGTTCCTGCATCCCGAATTGGCCGCCCCATCCCGGCCTCCCGAAACATTATTTCGTCCTCTCCCGACCACACAAACCACCACTGCACCAAGGTGTTGAGAACGTCGAAAAGTTGCTGACACGGTATTCATATCCGTCCAGAGAAAACTTGAGGCCCGCCAAGCGGCCCCCGATGCAATGGTGGATCCCACCCCGGCCCTCGCATCCATGACAATCACTGTTCGGCCGCGGCCCAACCAAAGGCAAACCAACCCATCAACCCGCATCGTCGCGTCTATGCGCTGTCACTGAGTGACTCACACACAACCTCACCTCACGCAAAGGAGGAGGGAAAAAAAAGGACCACCCCCATGCAACAACCACCAACCCGCGTTTCGTTTCCCTTGCAAAGCCAACCACACCGCGCCTGTCTGCGAAGATGCCATGCCAACAGCCCGCGCAAGTGGCGCGCAATCCATTGGCCAACGCGCTCCCGCGCCGCTACGCCATCGTGGCAACCCAGACCAACCAGCTCTCGGTGCCCTGCAACCACTTACTGCGCTTGCCGTTTCATGCCCATCCGGCGGTATGGAGATCATCAGGCACCGTCTTTGTTTACACTTTTTTTTCGCATTTGCAGACACAAGACAGACAGACAGACTGAGAAAAAAAATTCTCCTTGGTGGTTCAAGTCCCACCATGCAGCCGTCAACCGAGTGGTTGTCGATTTCTTGTTTTCTGGCTCGAGTGGCCAACAACAGCACACGCTGCCGTCGTCCAGTGGAGGCTTTCGCTCACTCCCTTGCAAGACGCACCTGGCGCACAAAAACATCGCCAACTGTCCAACCCCCAGTCTCTCTTACTGGTGTGTATAAGAAGATCTAGTGACTTCCTTCCGTCTGTCACCTTTTCTCCCCTCCGTTTTCCAATCTCGACTAGTAAGAACCTAGCAAACTCATACAACAACACTTAATCAAACGTTCATTCAAAGGACCTGAGAAAAGGGTTCCTGGCAAGGTCTATTCGGAGCAACGATAGACAACCACATACGATACTATACAACATACCACCTCGTTCTCATCTGCACTCATTAATATCGTCTTACACACACTTTCGCTGTTCACTTCAATCTGTACTTTCACTTCACCGGCGCCAACTTCAGTTCATCGTTCTTCAAACACCATCACCACACATCACACCACACCACCACCACACACAATGGATCACAACAACGTAATCGCCTGGCTGCTGCCCACATCAACAAACCAGCCCGCCCTCGAGGCCGTCCGCCTGCCCGAAAACACCAACCGCCGCATCGCCGCCATCCCCTCCTCCTTCGAGCCCCTACCGACACCCAACCCAGAAAACACCACAATCAACCCCCTCCTCCTCAACAAGACCACCTCACCCACCACCACATCCACCTCCAAACCCCGTCCGGCCCTCGAGCTCTCCTTCACCAACCCGCCCAAAAACCACACCGGCTTCGTCCTCGGCACCGACCCCGGAGCCGACATCCTCCTCCCCTCCCTCCCGGGCATCGCCCCGCGCCACTGCACCATCACCTTCGACGCCGAGCGCCGCCTCATCCTCCGCGACACCTCCGCCACCGGCACCGCCGTCTGGTACGACGCCTCCTCCAACGGCGACCGCGCCCGCGAGTCCTGGCTCCTCTCCGCCGGCGCCTCCTACGGCTTCCCCTCCATGGTCGACCGCCTCGTCATCGACATCCAGACCGTCCGGCTGCAGGTCGTCGTCAACGACGTCGCGCCCCTCAGCGACCCGGACGCCTACGAGCGCAACGTCGACGCCTTCATGGACCGCCTCGCCACCCTCACCCTGGACGAGATCAGCGCCCGCGAGGAGCTGAGCTTCGACCTCGACTTCCGCGATTTCGGCATCGACTTCAGCTTCGACGACCTCAGCTTCGGCCGCGCGAGCGGTGTGGGCGCGTACGAGGACGACGGGCTCATCGGGTACGACTACGAGATGGACGTCGACGACAGGCGGGACTACCTCCCGCCCCTGCCCTCCGAGGTGGCTCCCGTGTTCGTGAAGTACATGTTCGCCTCCGACGACGGGCTGCCCCCGGACACCTACCTCTGGAACACCGCCCGGCCGTGGGAGCCGATGGTCAAGGTCACCTGCTGAGGCACGCAAAACCCAACGCAACCGAAAAAAAAGAACACAAAACAACAAAAACAACAACATTGTCACTCATTTAATGTATAGACTGGGAAGGAAGCGCGGGAAATTTTGTAACAACAACCGGTTCACAAAGAGTTGACAGCATGTCTAGTCAGTGCTGGCACACCTGACGGCGTTTCTCTCATAATATCTGGCGTTATTTTCGGAGCGGCGGCGTCCAGAACCCATGTTTTTGGCATGACGACGAAAGATTTCCAACTGCGAAAAAATACGCGCACACACACTCATTCAGAACCCCCCAAGAGATTGGCGTCACGTCTTCCCCGGGATAGCATAGCATACTTTCTTCTGTACATCTAGTGTAGATACCCCCCTACATAGCTGGAATACCCACCAGCAAAAACACACTTCCCATCAAAAATCAAAAAATCAAAAGAGAAATTACCAAACAGCTGATCCAACTCAAATCGTCTTTCTCAAAATCCCATGATGGAAATGACTCGCCCAAGTGTGGTGGTTTTGGCCATCTCCCACCTCGCCCTTCACCGCTCTCCCCCGTCTTCCGAACTTCTTCGTCCCAACTATCTGACCCATCATCAACTACCTCCACCTTACCCAAACCGCCCCGTGATTTTTTCGACTCCGCGGAGCCCAACGAGCAAAGACCATATAAAGGGCGGAGCGGAGGGGGGAGAGTGCCTCTGCTGACCGCTACGCTTACCACGCTTGGGGGGGATCAGTCGCGGCGCCGGACCACCAGACGGCTCGGGACACCATTAAGAAAAAGCGCATGATACCGCCACTTCTAGAGCACACCACCAGCAACCAAACCTCGGAGGCATGCGGTGACGGCCCGAGCTCTATTTTGCACAATCGCCCAACGGCCGGTCCTCAGACCGAGTGGCCCACGAGATCCGACCGATACTTTAATCTTGGTCCTCCCGCCCTCCCTTAATCTGGCCCCGACACCACACCCACGCGCGTCATTCCGTGTATCATGTCTCCGCGGGTCGCTAATCTGGAATCACTCGGGGCGGGAGGCGAGCTTCCTTTCTTTTAGTGCGTGGGGCTCTTGAATCCTGCTTCCGTGGACACCGTCCTTTATATTGACCATGTTCAAACCTCGTTTCTAAAAAAGATGCGTGCCAAGAGTCTTGGACAGAAAGTGTGTGATAATCTATCCCTACAACAAATGCAACCGCAACCATGAACCCTCTAGAAATGGCCTCCGACGACCCGGAGCCCGACGAATCAAGCCCCCTCCTCTCGACAACATCCCAAAGCAGAATCTCTACCCGGCCACCGCCGCCGCTCTCCTCGCCTTCGACGCTGTCCCTCATCTCCAAGGCAGACTACGCCCTGGGCCAATCACCTTCCCAAGGTGACCGCCTGCCGTACAGCAACTATGCGACAATCGACTGGCTGCGCGGCCTCACGGAATCTTCCTCGCGCGCGCGCCGCCTCGATCGCCTGCCGGGCCTCCGGGGCCGCCTCCGCCGCTGCATCGACCGAGCCGAGGGCTGGATCGCCGCGGCGCTGATCGGGGTGCTGACCGCCCTCGTGGCGTACGTCGTCGACGTGTCCATGGCGACGACGGCCGACTGGAAGGAGGGGTACTGCCGCGGCAACGTGTTCCTCGACCGCGGGAGGTGCTGTAGAGGCACGCCCAGGTTGGGGGTGTGCGAGGCATGGAGGCCCTGGGTCACGGGCGGTGGTGAGGGCGTGTCTCCCGCTGCATACGCCGTCTACGTCCTCGTCGCGCTGCTCTTCGGCGCCATCGCGGGCAACGTGACGATGACGACGAAAGCGTCCCTCCCAACAGCGGCCACAGAGGATGGAGAAGGCAGCACGAAGACGATGTACATGGCCGCGGGCAGCGGGATCCCCGAAATCAAGAGCATCGTCTCGGGCTTCGCGATCCCGCGCTTCCTCAGCCTGCGGGTGCTGCTCGTCAAGGCCGTCGGGGCGACCTTCGCGGTGTCGACGGGCATGTGCCTGGGCAAGGAGGGCCCGTTCGTGCACATCTCGACGTGTGTCGGGTGGCTCGTGGCCAACTGGTTCCCCAAGTACCGGGACAGCCCGCGCAAGCTGCGCGAGATGCTGAGCGTGGCGTGCTCGGCGGGCATGTCTGTGGCGTTCGGCGCGCCGATTGGTGGTGTGCTGTTCAGTTACGAGGTATGTTTGATATGCTGCTGTTTGTGTTGTTGATGTCGTATTGGCTGACCCCGACGACTAGGAAATCAGCACGTACTTCCCTCGTCGTGTGATGTGGAGGGCGTTTCTGTGTTCGCTGGTCGCGGCCATCGCGCTCAAGGCGCTGAACCCGACGGGCGGCGGGAAGCTGGTGCTGTTCGAGACGAATTTCGGCGTTGACCACGAACCCGTGCACTATCTCGTCTTCGTCTTCCTGGGCGTGTGTGGCGGCGTTTTCGGCGGAGTGTTTGGTCGAGCAAACTACTCCTGGTCCAAGACTTTTCGCAGATGCGAAATCGTGAAAAATCACCCCGTGCTGGAGCTCTGTGGCGTCGTGCTGGTAACCGCACTGCTGCAGTTTCCAAACGCTCTCACCCGGGACACCGGCGACGTCGCTCTCTCGAAACTGCTGGTCAACTGCGAAGACCCGGAGGGCAAGTGGGTGTGCGAGCAGGAGCAGAGGTCAGACAGGACGGGGTACATACTCTCGCTCGCGAGCGGGACGCTGGCCAAGCTGGCGTTGACGACCATCACTTCCGGGTGCAAAGTGCCGTCTGGAATCATCATCCCGGCGCTGAATGCCGGCGCGCTGTTTGGGCGATTGGTCGGGCAGTTCGTCGACGGTATATCGCCGGGCATATTCGCCATGGTCGGGGCTGCTGCGTTCCTCGCCGGCGTGTGCAGGATGACGGTGAGTTTGGCCGTCATCATGTTCGAGTTGACGGGCGAGGTGACGTTCATCCCGGCCTCGATGTGCGCCATCCTCACCGCCAAGTGGGTTGCGGACGCCATCTCTGCCGAGTCGGTGTACGAGCTGTCGCAGCACTTGTTGGGACACCCGTTCCTCGAGGCTGAGCAGGCATACGAGGTCGTCAAGCACCGGGAAGCAACCGCGCGCGAGCTGATTCCTTCCCCTGAGACGATGGAAGAGATCACTCTGCGCACGGGCAGAGAGTACCGCGTGCGTCAAGACGTGCTGGCCGACAAGCTGCAGAAGCTGCTGGCGAGGGGCCTGATGGATGCCGGTCTTGTACTGGTGAATGAGGCGGGACTGCTGTTTGGGTACTTGCCTCAAGCGGAGCTGGAGGCGGTTCTCCAAGTCCGCGGAGAGGCTGAGGAGATTGATCTGCGTTCGGGGATCATGGTGGACTTGGTTGACCGGACACCGTTGACAGTGAGCGCCGAGGCGCCGATGGAGCATGTCCTTGAGATGTTTGGGAAGCTCGGCCTGAGCTACCTGGTCATTCTTGAACCAGAAACAGCGAACGTGGTGGGCGTTGTGTTGAAGAAGCGGTTGCTGGGCTATTTGCATCGTACAAAGGCGCATAATTGAGGAGGAGCATTGTCATATTGGCTGTACCATAGAACCTACTCAGCATTGTCAACTTAACGTTAATGAAATATAATGTCTTGTCGCTAGTCTTGGGCCAGGGCTTAACTGGATGCGGAACGGTGACATGATGACTTTCGTGGGTGCCTTTTCCCGGATTTCAACGGAACAGAGCGAATCAAGTCCCTCGCCTCTGTCGCCCACACTTAACCCACGATGTGTTCCAAAGTTTGCCCAGTGATGCCACCAAGGGCCAAACTCTAGTCGTTTCCACCTCCGTCTGCAATGCCCGATCGTAGTGTCCTTCGTCGTCGCAGTCTGCCCAGGTCGAAGTAAAACGCAGTTGTCATTCGCAATAACGTGAATTCGGCCTCGTTCTATGACCCTCGCGGCAAGTCCAAGTCCCCATTTTCGACCCTTTTGCCGTGGCCCTCCAATGTCACAGGTTATATACACAGACGCGGCCGCCCCGGGCTGTCTTTGTTGGACCCTTCAGTTGCTTCTCGTACCCTTCTCCGCGCGGAGCTCGTTCATCTTGGCGACACGCTTCTTGAACTCGACGTACTGGCACTTCTCGTAGCTGTGGCGCTCGTCCTAGCCGTGGGGAATCATGGGTTAGCAGAGCGTTCGGTCCGTCGGGTGGCCTCTCGAGGCCGGGTTCGGGCAGCGCCGGGAACGACGACGGCATCACGGGGGTGAACGAACATTGCACTTCCACGGCAGGTAGAAGGTATCGGTGCGGCAGCGGTTGAGGGGGATGAGGAGGTGGGCGCAGCTGTCGCGGTAGGCGAGGGGGAGTTTGGCGTCCCGCATCTCCTCGCGGGGCGTCTCTGCAGAAAAGGGTCAGCATGTCTGCGCAGTGTGTAGCATGATGGCGGAGGAACGGACCCCTGGGTTCGAAGTCTCCGGCCATTGTGACGGCAATTGGGGGTTTTGTGATGGGCGAATGGTTCGGTCGTCGTTGGTCAATCGGTCTTGAATTGTCGTCGGAGCTTTGGATTGGATTGTGGAGCTGCCCGTGACGGTTCCCTTTCGGCCTCAATTGTCAGGCTGCAGGACGACTGCTTACGTTTTGGGCATCGTGATTGGCCAATTTGGCGGTTCCGGGGTGCCTTCACTGGACTTTTCAGTGCACAGGCCTAAGAATCCATAGAGTTTGGCCTCCCGACACTCTATTCAACTTCGAAGCCCAAGTCAGGTAAAGATGAGATATACGCATATTGAGCCTTAGTTGAGCTTTCTGTTCATCTAGAAGCTTTGCTTGACTTTGAAGGTTCTTTCTGGTGGTTGGCTGCTGCTTTCTAGACGTATCACTGTTTGGGCATTCCCCGCGTTCAGAAGACGGGCGCCGGAAATAAACACACAGCGAGTACAGAGTCAAGTATGACCAAGGAACAAGAGCTTAATACACTGAAGCCCTTCAGCGCGTTTCCCATGATGCTCCCTATTTTTCATGATTCTCTCTCGAATACAAGTGTATTCGAATTCATATTCTCCAGGCTGGTACAAGGCCATCTCTTGCTTTTCTCAACTTGCCTTGGGGCAGCCATTGACTGAAAACTTGGAGGCCATTCTGAAGACTCTTTCGAACAGCGTACGATTCGTAGATCGTATCTAAAAGACGACCAGAAGCCTCCGATAAGCCCACCTCATGGACTCACATACCATCAATCTCGTATCCCGGAGTCAAAGTTCTCCCTTCGACCATTTGGACCATTACGTTATTCAAACATGCTGTAGCGCCTCAGCTCTTTCAACCAACTCCTTTGGGCTCACAGTCCAGAACAAAAGTTCCAACCCAAACTCCCTCACACTCTCACTAAAAGCTCCCAGCAACATGGCCGATCCGAACCACCTTCCCGTTGGCGCAGGTCGGACCACAGACCGGAGACAGAAGTCCCTGCCGGACTGCCGGCGCGTGTCCACCCGACCTGGGGCCACACCACAGCGTCGAATGCTCACCTTCCGCTTCGAGCTAACCTATCGGCCCACGCAAAATCCCACGCCAAATCCAATCTCCAACGTTGCCATCCATCCATTCCCAAATGCCTATCAGGAACCACCCCCGTCTCCATACCCGGCCGAGGCCAACCCCCGGCCTCATGTCCTCAACGTTACAATCACGACAATCCGTGCGTGCGCGATGGGCGGCCGAGATCGCATCGGGCTGGTCGTCCCCTCTTCCCGCCAACGGGGCCCAGAGAGCTTGGAAAGCTTGTTCCTGCCGAGGGCCGCAATACGGGACGCGTGCGCTGCGATCTTGGGCGACTGGATGCATGGGTCTTGCATATCGGGACTCATTTCGCCGGGATGTTGGATGGGTCTGCTGCTTGCCCAGATGCTGTGTCACTCTTAAAAGATGGCAGCTCTCCCGCCGCCGTTCCCGCGATGCCTCGTCCCTTGTGTTGATCGAGTCGCAAAGTAGGCGTGCCGTGGTGTGTACTCGTCCCTGGCCACCGTAGCAGTGTCTCTGTCACCATGAAGATCTCCCTCGCCTTGTTGAGCTGCCTCACGGCGGCCCAGGCCCATTTCGCCTTCCAGCCCATCCAGCCGCCCTTCAGGGCCGAGGACGACGAGGGCGGACTCGTCAAGCGTGACGCTCTGTACTTTGAGCAGCTCATCGACCATGATGCTCCTGAATTGGGAACCTTCCAGCAGCGGTACTGGGTCAACAGCACCTATTGGAAGGGCCCCGGCTCGCCGGTGAGAGCTGCTCATGGGCACGCGAAGACGCGCATTAGCTGACAATATGTAGATCATCGTCTTCACGCCCGGCGAAGTTGCTGCTGAGGCTTACAGCGGATACCTGACTGACCGCGCACTCACGGGCAGCATTGCCAAGGCTGTTGGCGGTGCCGTTGTGATGGTCGAGCGTAAGCCTCCCCGGTCAACAGATACTTCGAGATGGACCAGACTGACGCAGAGCAGACCGTAATTGGGGCACTTCTCTGCCGTACACCCTCCAAGACACCAAGAACCTCCAGCAGCATACCATGACGAACGCCGTCTTCGACCTCACAAACCTGGCCCGCACGGTCGACCTTCCCTTCGACACCAACCACAGCAGCAACGCTCCCCAGGCTGTAAGTTTTACCGTCCCATCCAAGAGGATCGCCTACTGACATGCGGCTCTAGCCTTGGATCTACACCGGCGGATCGTACTCCGGCATCCTCGCCGCCGCCATCTCCAAGTACGCCCCGGGCACCATCTGGGCCTACCACGCCAGCAGCGGGCCCGTCGAGGCGACATACGACTACTGGAGCTACTTCCTCCCGATCCAGAACGGCATGCCCCAGAACTGCAGCCGCGACTTCAACCTCATGGTCGACCACATCGACACCGTCCTGACCTCCGGAACCGAGGACGAGATCTACTCGCTCAAGGAGAAGTTTGGTCTGCAGGATCTCGCTCATAAGGACGACTTCGCGAGGTACGGTGGCCCTTGAGCCTTCCAGAGAAGACCCAAAGCTGATATCCCACAGTGCTCTCGTTGGTCCTCTCGGATACTGGCAGTCCATCCAGCTGTACTCTGGCTACTCCACTTTCTACGCCATGTGCGACGCGGTCGAGGGCGCCACCGGCAACTTCTCAGCACCCAGCGCGAACGGCGTCGGTCTCACCAAGGCGCTCGACAACTACGCCAAGTGGTGGAGCTCTGAGTACCTCCCAGGCAGTAAGTACACCAAAAACCTCTGTCGGCGAACCCATCTGACCGAATTACAGCTTGCGCATCATACGGCGTCGATGAGTGGTCGGACCCTATGAACGTCGCCTGCTTCGACTCGTACAACGCCACCAGTCCCATCTACACCGACTGGTCTGCCGACAACGCCTTCGGCCGCACTTGGTATTGGATGACCTGCAACGAGCCCTTCTTCTTCTGGCAGACGTGAGTATTTAGAACCTACCTCTGCTCCAAGATGTCCTTCGTTACTGACCCAATCCCAGTGGTGCCCCTGAGGACCGCCCCTCCATCGTCTCCCGCTACGTCACCCCCGAGTACTACCAGCGCCAGTGCGACCTCTTCTTCCCCCCGCAAGGCGACTTCACCTACGCCTCGAACCGCGGCAAGACCGCCGCCGACCTGAACAAGGCGACTGGCGGCTGGTTCTACACCAACACCACTCGCCTGGTGTGGTCGAACGGGTAAGCCGAGACCCTTTCGGTCCGTCATGACATCGACTAACACCCTCGCAGTGAATTCGACCCCTGGCGTTCCGCCTCCGTCTCCAGCGAGCTCCGTCCCGGCGGCCCACTCCAGTCCCGCCCCGGCGCGCCGGTCCATCTCATCCCCGGCTCCCGCCACTGCAACGATCTGCTCATGAGGAACGGCGACGTAAATGCCGACATGAAGGCTGTCATCACTTCTGAGATTGAGCAGCTGAAGACGTGGACCGAGGAGTTTTACGCTGGCAAGAACAAGACCAGGCGTGCCTTTTAAGCGGCTTGCCGCCTTGCGCGGCCACCGGGAGAGACACTAGTTTAATATAAACGAGCTGGAAATTTTCATGTATATAATTCGGCCTTAATAACAACGAAGCGGTAATGGATAAGACGCTCGATGCTAGGTCTACGCCACAAGTATTCATCCAGCGTATTCACCTGAACGTACAGAAACCACATCTCATATATCTACGTCTTGCCTACTTCACAACCATATTCTATACCAACCAAAGTCCTTCCCCGACTTCTATATAGATACCCAAAGCCCCCTCTACCACGGCAAATCAGTCCCATCATAATTCTTGAACTTCCCACTAACCTCCTTCGTCGCCTCATCAATCACCTTCACCATCCCGCCCACGCTCGTCTCGACCGTAATCGCCCCCAAACTCTTCGCATCCGCAACCCCATTCTTCTCCGCCAGCGCCGCCGACATATCCGTCTCCACCAAGCCCGGATGGAACACAAACGCCGTCACCCACTCCTCCTCCACGCTCAGCCGCTTCACCAGCCAGTTCAGCGTCGCCTTGCTCGCGCCGTACGGGCTCAGCCCCACGCC